TTTGTTCTTAATGCAGCTCTTTACACTTAAAGCTACTCTTTGTCTTATCTCTTGCTTATTTCATATTCTTATTTGTTGGAGCTTAAATTATCTTAATTTAGTTGAGTTTGTTGATTGATTATTATTATGCAATCATTTCTAAACATACTGTCGGTGTCTGAACATTTTTATCACGCATCATAAAACATCTCTCATGTACATATATGATATAGTCCTCCGACCAAGTCTCAGGCCAAAACTTGTTGGAATTTGCTTACGTGAATACAAGTGGACCAGCATTTGTTGCCCATGTAATCATTAAGAAAAGCTGGGTCAACAGAAAAAGCACATCTTTAACTAGTTCGTTTGTCCATCATTAGTTAATGAGTGCTTTGAACACCAAAATACTATCACAAGAATCAAACAAATCAAACCATGCTAGCATGAGAGAGTTAGATGTTTTACTGACTTCTTTGTAATTAGGGAGAGGTTTTTTTGCAATGCAGCTTGATCATTTGACAGCAGATAAATCCAATGGTTGCTTGGATATCTTTGGCTTCACTTTCTTCATCTATTATGCAGAGCAGAAAAAACCAATTATCTCGTAATTGTAAAGGTAGATTGGACAATATAAAAGAAACTAAAATCTTATTTATAAGGGTTATTCGCATAAAATGTCATTACGTATGGAGTTCACTGTGCAAAATGTCCAAACATTGTATTTTTTTTTGCATTTTCATCCCTATTTCAACATTTCATTGTGGGAATTATCCATTTCATCTATTTACATCCAATTTCTTAATTAAAAAAAAAAGCGTGAAATGATGAATATACTTTCATATTTAAATAAACAAAAAGAAAAATAAAGAACTAATTGTAACTATACCCCAAATTTTTTTTAAAAAAAAAGTGCAAACGAGTCCCAAATAAGTTATTATAAAAGTTTAAAAAAAAAAATCTTCTTCCTTCTCCTTTCCCTTCATATTGTCCCACCACCGGATTAAAGAACTAATCATACTAAACAAAATTATTCACTGTATACATCACCAGCATCACTGCATTCATTCCACTACTCTCTCTTCTACATTTTCCGTTTTTTTTACACTAAATTGAGCTAAATTAAGGAAAAAAAAATTTAGGGTTAACAAGCTTTAAATTCTTTTGATGATATGAAGTGATGGCTATTGTAACAACAAATCCTAAGCTTCCTTCACAGGACCAAAGAGAACGGCACTGTTGCCTTTCGAGCCCGAACATGGAAATTTGCATCTGCCAAAAGCACAGAATGTCAATGAAATGGCCGATGGCTATAGAAGCAACCCCATCGAATGCAAAGTAGATGCTGGTGACATCAATAGGAAGTTTATTAGTGTCGTTTGAGGGAGAATTGATTTTGATACCCCATGAGCAGAGACGGATATGGGGGACTGGGCTGGGCTATAATCCCCCCTAGGGCCCAAGAAATTTATTTTTTTTAATGCATTTTTCTTTTTTTTTTTGAAAAAACAGTTTTTTTGTGTGTAATTTTTTTTCCACGTATTAGCCTGATTTGAAATTTTGTAGTCCGGTCTTAGATCCAATCCTGGATCCGTCCCTACCCATGAGTAAGGCGAAGACTGCATTGAGCGGAAGGTGTTGGGACTACAGGCAATGGTTAGAGGAAAGAACGAAATTCATTCAGCAAGGAGGAGTTTGCATTTTCTTTTGAAAAGAATTTTTGTTCTTTGCTCATAATACGGTATAGAAGAAACAACGCTCACACATAAAAAGTGGAATTAATTTTCAACCGGTGGTGGCGGTGACGGCGGATGGGCGGGGGAGAAGGAGATTTTTTTTTTTTTTTATAATTCTTAAATGATTAATTTGAGACTCGTTTGCACTTTTTATTAGAAAAAATGAGAGTATGATTGCAATTAATTCTTTATTTTTATTTTTTTCTTATTTAAATAGGAGAGTATATTCGTTATTTCACAACTTTTTTTTTATTGTTCTTGAGAGTTTATTATCCATCGGTTCTGAAAATTTTAAATAAAATATTATTACAATTATGTCTCTCAGTGAAATTTTCAATTTATATAGTTTCTTATATGAAATGTTTTCTCGTAAATGATTATATTATTATAGGTTTTTTTATTTTTATTTTTTTTACATATAAGTTAATATTTAATTTAAAAAGTTAACTAAAGTTAAATATTAATTAATATCTAAAGTTAGTATTTTTACTTATAAGTAAACTTTACAATTATAAATTAATTTTGTACTTTAAAATAACTGAAGTGAATTTTTTTACTTTGAAGTAACTTTTTATATTTTATAAGTAAACTTTTACCTTATTAGTAGCATTTTTATTTGTAAATAAATTATTTTACATAAAAGTTATTTTTATCTTACAAGTGAAATAATAATTTTAATCTAAATAAATAATTTTTTAGTTAATATGTTTTTAAGTTCGAACAAAGTATGTTGGTTTGAAATAATTACTTTATTTATGGTAAAATTAGAAGAAGATATGAGAAATGATAAAAAAATTGTCAATTTGATGGGTTGAGAAAACTAATCAGATTACGTTACTTCAATTTTGGATGATTTTTAAACCATCCAAAATTGGTGCTCAAAAGAAAGCATTGATTTTTCCAACCTCTCATAAGCAGTGTCGCCCAAAATCGATAAAAATCAATGCAAAAGAACTCCCAAGCAAGCTCTAACACTCCATTCATTTTTTATTCATACATTATATAATGTATGTATGTATGTATGTATGTAAGTATACACACACATTACAATATTTTTCTTGAAATATGATTGTTTTTGCTTGTATATATTTTCTTGAAGTTTAAATCTAGATGGTTCTCACATCTCTTTTTTATTGCACCTAGAAATTTTGAGCTTACATTCTCAAATTGTAACAAAAAAAATAAAAAAAATATGAAGTGTCAATTGATGCTTTGATGACTTTATGGCACATATTAGACTTCTAAGTTATTGTATCATCTTTAAGTTTGTTATCAAGAAGATTTTCAGTAGACGAGTTCGTTTTTATTAAGAAAGAGATTCTTTTTAATTTAATAGAATGAATCATTTGATTAAATAAGTACAATAATTATGGATTTTATTTAATTAAATAGGTAGGCACAACGAATATATATTTTTAGTTAATTTAGCATATCTTTACTTGATTAGTTTATTACAATACAATTAATATTTTAATTGTTTAAATGTACATGTATTGAATTATAAAATATATTTTACAAGTTAACAAAATTTTAATTTGTTGATAAATTAATAATTCATATTTTACAGGTCCCAACATTATTAATGTATAGAAGATACATTTTATAAGATATACACCCTCATAAAAAATAGCATCACACACTTGTATAGTACCTCTAAAAGTTATAACTTGAATTGCAGTTGTATATAATGCGAATAACCAAGTACTCATAATGTATATTATCAATATTTTACGAGAATTTACAATATAATTGTGACTCGATACATGCACCTTACTTCAAAATTGTACATGAACTCAACTTTCCGCCAAGATCATTCATGAATTCCCATATTTTGTTTAATAAAATAATTTACATGGCAAATAGGAGTGCCAACATGGCTATGTTGTGATGGACAATGACATGTTAATTACGCAATGATACATAAACTTTATTCCCTATTTCAAAATCATACATAAACTTACTTTTGTATCAAATAATGACCTTAAGCCCCCATTTGACTCCTATTACATTAAATTACATTACATTTCATTTTTCTCTCTTCTCTTTTCAACCATACATTTTTTCATAAAATAATATTACATGTAAATCAAAATTTTTACTTCTTTTTCAACCACTCATTTTTCAGAAAAACCACTATTACACCCATTTTTACATCAAAAAATGGTAAAAATGGAGGCCAAACGGGGGCTAAATTAACATCCGCTTGACCTAAGCTAATTTTGGTTCTTCTGGCTTTTGATATAGCTCCCTGTTTGGTCTTCACTCTACACAATTTATTTTTCATGAAACTCATTTTAACCGTAAATTCTCTTAATAAAATAATTTTGCACACGAATCCATAATCTTTTCCTACTTTTCACACATTATTCAAAAAAACACTTTTAATAAAATTTATTTTCACAAAATCTCTACCAAACAAGGCGTAAAGAAATTCTCATAAATGCTAATAGAGAAATTATCGCATATTATCATGTGTTCTGTGTAGCCATATTGATATTGTGAAGTTGAATACATGCAATGCTAGCTGCATATTGTATTCTCAGGTGAAACTCTTGAAATCTTTTAGTTATGATGCAATCAAGTGGCAAAATTCCTCCAGCTAGATTTGAATTTTCCATATATGAAGCTTCTTATTATCTATTAAATATTCTCATTAACATTGCATCATTGCGTCCATTTTGGAGCAATTTTTGGAATTTTACTTTTGCATTCTATCATCAAATTTGGACATTCTGCATAACATTGTAGTATCTAAGAATTTACACTTGAGGACTAATATAACTTGCATAACAATAATAATATATACTAATGGTATACAAATTAGTAAATTCATGTATTATTTTGAAACAATGTTGAATTTATGTATGGTTAAACAAATAATAAAGTTCATGTACTGTTTGCATAATTAACCACATAGGCACTCCATTTACCACATAATTCCATTAGTTTTGACTACTAAAGTTAATTTATGCATTGATGAAAAGCAAATTCGTGACTTTATGTACAAGTTTGAAACAAAGTAAATTTTATATATGATTTTGAAATATGGTGTCAAGCAGGTAATTAACCCTCCTCGTTATAAAAGGTCAAGTCACTAGTTTATGAATATATAACATCATTCAATGTATCCGTATTTTAAAAATGATCAAGAATGCCCATAACCAAAGTTGTCGACTTCGATTGCACTTAAGCTCGGCATCAGCCCAGGTTCGGGACCAGCGGAATATTTAAAAAAAAAAAAAAAAAAGTTGACTAATTTTACATTCACAAGAATATATGACAGCATCATGACATCAACACTGAATTTGATTTTTCATATAGTTGCTATTGCAAAATTTGTAGAGGGACTCAGGGAGTTGTACATATCTTGCAATATAAATCCTCAAAGAAATCTCAAGTAATTCCCAGTTCTGTTTTGCAGTTGACTATGAGATTCATGTAAAATTCTCATTTTACATCTGTAACATACACAGAGTTACCAGTAAATGCACAAGAACATGCCCATTTACATATCAGTATATTAAGGTTTGTATGTCAGCTGCTATACTCCAAATGCTTCCATTTATATATTCATTACCTTCCACAAGTTGTAATATCAAACTCCAAAGCTCTCGAGATTTTTTCCAATGAATTTGTCTTTCCGGGGCAAGAGAAAACTAGCAGAGAAAGGTGCTGAGCCCCGAGGAAGTGCCAAAACCCAAAAATTCTCAAGGAGTCTAGCTACAAGTGACACCATTGTGGGGATGGTCATGCAGAAATGGTGTTTCCGAGTAGCAGAGGCGGTTAGTGACTTCTGAACCTATAATCATGCAATTACTGGGATCAACTAAAGTTCCAAGGGGTCTCAAATTATAAATTCAACAAAAATCCAAAAATTTGATACCTTGAAGAACTTTGGAGCCAAAATCATCACTATTACTTCCGGATTGATCAAGGCTAGAATTTAGTGTATTTTTGCCTTTACTTTGACTGCTCTCTAGAGGTGTAGAAATATCAGACAGAAAAGGCTCCACGTATTTAACTTTTTTACGCTTCTTATTGTCTTTCTTCACGAGATCTTCCAAATGTAAGATGCCAAAAGATAACAAATAGAAGATAATAATGTTTTTCGGTCCGTTTATAATGAACAAAACAGAAGCAACAATGGAAAAAGACTTACCCAAATTAACCCCGTTTTGGCAAGCATTCAAATTCAAGAGGCAAAGTGCAGCTTCTACAACATCTGTCTCATTAACTCTCACTATTTGTACCTACAAAAGATGTAGCTCAAGAATAATAACAGTCTTCGTATGAGCATAATTTTTATATGACATCATATATATAGTGAACACTTGTATATTCATAAAAATTATGCACCTAGACATGTGGCTTCAGGAAAACAATAAGGGAAGAAAGTGTGCTATCGGATCTTCGTACAAGTGTGAAAATAAAATTTCTTCACAACAGGAAGCTTTATAATACCCACCGAATGGAAATACTTGTCATGCTTATACATTGATGTTCCTCACAATAAACGTAGCATGATCATCAAGTTCAGAGCTTTTATTTTCGGGAAAAAAAAAATCCAGACAATCCTTTTCAATTTTCAATTCCTTCCAACAAAACCTGTTTCCGTTTGAATATATAATATATTTGATAGCTTGATTGATTAGAGAAATTTACTAAGTTTTTCTATGCCATCTTACTGCAAAAGAATCGTGCAGTTACTTCAAATTAATTATTTCATAAATATACACCAGACGAGACTTCGTACAACCTCTGTGATTATCTAACCAGCATCATCTTCCTTAGCCTCAGCGGTTTACAATTTTTTTTTTTTCAAGATGTCAATCTTGAGTAGGTTCTCAAACACTGTCAATTCCTTCTCATTTAGGTCATAGAGTGAAACAAAATGCCAGCATTATGGGCTTCAGGTCTAGGTCAATAATGAACACTCCAAATGATGAAACAATTACCTTTAACTTGCAAGGTTCAATCAACTCGAAAATCAATATATCTCCTTTGAGTAGTCTGTGAGATACAGAAAAACCTCTCCAGCCAGCACTCAGACCATGTCTATACAGAAGGTAGGATGTTTCATATTCATTTGCCCATTCATCTACCAAAACAACAGTAGCATCATGATTTGGTAAATGCTGGCTGCAAAAGCTCTTGGGAAGATGCTGTCATGAGATCGTTCAAACCAAGAAATTACTTCAGCTTACCAGAGCATATGTTATTCTTACAGTGGCAAAATAACATGTCCAGCTAAGTAAGAGTGAGTAAAAGATAAGTAAATCTTTCTCCAAAACACGTTAGAATAATTTATTTTTTCTTCACTTTTGACAGAAAAAAAGTTACATAATTTGACAGTACCTTTTTAACTTCGTATCAAAATAAGTAACACAATTCCAATTTCAATCAATAAAAAAATTATTTGTGTTAAGACTTATTTATTTACATATTAGTGAGCTTTTTGAGCTTAGCAAAACATGCTCGAAGTCCCAGGCTTACCAGCCAAAATCCATGAGCAACATTTGATGGGAGCATACACTTCCCAAAGCTAGGGACCTCATTTGCTAATCTTGCCACCACCCTTTCTGCTCGCTCCATAACAGAATATTTAGCTTCAATATTATCATATATATCACTAAACCTGGTCCTCTTTCCTTTACTTCTGTAGGAGATCATACAATCAGTAAATATGTGAAAAATTAACATAATTTTTACTTTGAGTGGGAAAAGAACTGAAGTTTGAAAGCCATTCAAAAAATAACAAACCTTCCCAATTTTTTGGAATTACGAGAAGATACCTGTTCAGAATAGATTAATCCAATCATTATTAGACAATATCTTTTAATTTATGAGAGGCATTTTCATGCATCCAATACATATTGAAGTGGCTGCATATAGACAAATGAAAATATAAATGTTCATCGTATATGAACCATCACATGTTGTAGCAATAAATTAATTTGCTTCAAGAAATCCAAATAACATTTAAGCAAAAGATATACTATAGTCATCTGCCGGTGAATTGTAAGGCGAAAAAACAAAAAGTATAACCTTTTATTCGGGAAACTTTTCTTGTAGAAAACATATTGGAACAAAAAATTTCATTTTTGTAGCCTAAAGACACATGCTCCTTGACAATCCCTTTGCTTTTCCCCACTCTCACGTGGAGAAATCCATAAATAAAATCTTGTAATTATCAGTTACTTCAATATAATCAAGTGGCCAATTTGAGGATGTACACCTTTGATACAATTGTTTTCCCTTAACCTTCTTTTTAGGATCAGTATTATTCATTGCACCGATCACATGAACCCTACAACATCTTTCCAATGCTTCATAATTAATATATATAACAGAATTAATTTACGTACAACAAACAATAACATCCAAATATCTAGAAGAAGTTCTGAAACTGTATAGAAATTTTTTTTCATTTTTTTGGTTAAAACCACATGGTAGCTTATTTTATTAATAACGTAACATGAAAGAGTACAAACTTAGGAGGGGCAATGACCTCCAACTAATGAAGATATAGAGAGTTCACCCTGTCCGTAGATGAGGAGTGCATACAATATATATATAGGACTAAAACTAAAACTCATGTGGCCTCATCCCAGTTTTAGTCATCATACGTCGCATAAGATATCTTGTTGGATCTTTTGGTTCAAAATCACTAATTGATGCTATACACACAACAGAGGATTCTTTACATCTCATAATTTTACTACAATCACCTAAAGAAGATCCTAAAATGACACCACAAGATTATGAACAAATAACTCCAAAAAATCCTATTTCATTAAGAAACAATGATCATAGAGACAGTCAATTTCATAAAACTGATTTACAATATTAAAATAGATAGAATAAATGTTCGGCCAAACTTGATAACTTATCCATAGGTTTTTGGAATAAATTTGGGTTTCAGACGTTGAACAGTTTGTTCAAACAAATTTCACGATATATGTTCAACTATTTATCAAACAGACAGTCACAATACAACGAGATTTTGCAGCATATTGATATCATAATTCCGCAAAACTTAAAAATACATTTTGAACATTCAACATTTTCCTTGAGCATATCGCCTGACAATCTTAGACATCGGATCCAACTACAATCAACTCCAAATAAAGCAAATCTGGAAAAAACAAAGCGTGGCTCGCCGCAACTGCATCTACAGATCAGTAAAATTTAACACAATTCTAAGTTCGTGATATAACTCATAAGTAAGTTTCGGACATCCAAGGATGGTTTTTAGGTATCGGATATTGAGAATATTTTTGCTGAATCACGCTTTCATTTATCCCCAAACATAAAATTAGGGTGCAAAACAAAATCAAATTATCTTCAAATCCTTCGAAAATTGAAAAACACTCCTGGAAACACAAATTTTTCGTGGCAGAACTCAATTAATCAACTGATACTACATGATATCCACATATAATTTCATCCGTCAATTCAATAATTCTCAGATAACAAAAAACTAAGTTGGGCGTGGATCTACTAACAAAATAGATCAAAAGAAAGGAAAACAGAGAATCCTCACTTGCTTATCCTTAGATTTGAGACTTAAAGGCCTTTCCGAGACCATGTTTTTCTTGGTCACAGATTGCATTCTCTTCCTTTTCTGCTATAAATCAAAAGGCAAACAACCGACAACTACAAGTTTAAGAAAACAAAAATATATGGGCGACTATATATACATATAAATATATATTCGAAAAGTACCTTCTGTGAAGATTCTGCGATGATGTTTGCTTCATCTTCCTTTTTACAGTTTTGGGTCTCGAATTCATATAGCTTTTGTTTAAATTTCTTGGCTTCCATGGTTGTTTCCTGGTTAACTTTCTCTCTCTCTCCAGAAAAAGCTAGTACTGCAGTTGTAGTAGGACTTGTTTAATGTATTGTATAAAGGTTTAACCCCAAAATTTTGGTGAGAAAGGTGAATTGTGGCCCAAAATTTTGGTGAGAAAGGTAAATTGTGGGATGTGTCCCAACAGATTAGGAAATAAGAATTGATTGTACACTGTATTTATAAAGAGTTTAATTTCATGTTTCAGAAATCGAATCTTCACACTGCTACTATTTACAATTCGTGAGATAACCTCACTCCTATCGTTTGTATACATATATGTTAAGTATATTTATGTGTAAGTAATTATTTTCGAAAAATACACACACAAAAGAGGATCATTTGAATTTGAATACATATAGTGTATTTATATGTAAGAACATGCCATATTTTCAAAAAGTACATATACCAGGCGGACCAAATACCATACTAATGTTATCTGCCGCTACTAATATCAATTTACGTTATACTATGTGATAGTCTCGATAAAAGTAAGCAATTATAAAGTTGAATAGTCTTTCATTTATATTTCTTTCGATAAGTTCAAATCAGTCCATCATTCATTGTTGGCTTGCTTTTTTAGATAGTAGAAACAATGGGCACTTAAAAAATGGTATTCTTCGTTTTGGCATCCAAGTATCGAACGAGTACTATTAAATTGATAGGATTCACATTTTAGATGTACAAATGGTCAAGTAGGATTGTAGGTCTGTTCAGACAAGATTATTAATGCATGACCCAACGACGCGTTCTGCATTAACTTACTCACCAGTATTAATGCATGACCCAAAGATGTGTTCTGCATTAACTTAATTATCAATATTAGTTGTTAATTGATTTTGAAAGCTTATTTTTCATGATAAGAAAGATATCATATTGAGAGAAATAATATCCTAAGTACCATTATAAAAGTGACATGACACATTAAATCTAATTTATTTTTTCATAAATTTATTTATCAATTAATTGATATGTCTAGCTATTGCTGTTTAATAAGTTATGGTGCTTACTAGATCCATTTTCATTATTTTTTTTATTTTTTTTTAACAAACACTACACTTCAAATTTTTGGTTAAATAGTAGCAACACATCTCGAACCTTTCATGTCATTTACAAATAGAGGAAATAAGTGAAAATTGCCATTTGACCCACCCTTATTTCCACGTTGACCTTTGACTGATTTAAAAAAAAAAATAAAAATGAAAACACAATTTAAAAAACTTTTTCAAAATATCCCTCCATCTTCCTCTTTCTCTCTCTCTCTCTCTCTCTCTCTCGACGGTTTGGAGACAAGAATTCAAATTCACTGGTAGTCGACCGTCCAGGCATCTCCCTCACCAAAGAACTTCCGGTTGTCGGCTATTAAGAGTTATAAAGGTTAGTTTTTTGTGGAACTATAATTAGATTATTGGGTTTTGTTGAGTTTTAGCTAGATTATTGGTTGGAATATGATTTTTGTGGAATTAAAGGCATGATTTAGGCTAGATTAGTATAGATGAAGTATATTGACCAATTTTTGTTGTTTGGGGAACTCCCACTCGCTGAAAATGGTGGAATCCGACGAGTGGATATAAAAAGGTTGCGTTAGTCGATCGGCTATCAACCGTCGACTGTTAACAGTCGGGCTCAAGAACCGGCTGTTTAACAACTGTTTTTTTTTTTTTGTAATATTAAATTTTCTAAATTAATTTAAATCATTAAATATTTAGAAATGTTATTACATATTTTTTTCTTGATCAAATTTAAAGGAATTTGTTATTCTAAAATTATTTTTTTAATTCTAATTTTACCTTTTTATTTAAAATTTAAAATTTATTTTTATTTTAAATTTAAAGAAATTTTTTAATTTAGAATTTATTTTCAAATTAATTATTTAATCCGAATTTTGAATTTTATTTTTATTTTGAATTTTCATTTTAGTTATAATTTTAATTTAAAGAAATTTGTTATTTTAAAATTAATTTTCAAATTACTTTTTTAATTCTAATTTCAACTTTTTATGTTAAATTTAATTTAATTGTAATTTTATTTTAAATTTACATTTTTTAATTATAATTTTAATGTAAAGAAATTTGTTATTTTAAAATAAAATTCAAAATAAATTTTTAATTCTAATTTAAAATTTAAAATTTTTATTTTTAATTTTATCTTATTGTAAATTTAAAATTTCATTTTAGTTATAATTTTAATTTAAAGAAAATTGTTATTTTAAAATTAATTTTAAAATTATATTTTTAATTCTAATTTCAACCTTTTATGTTAAATTTAATTGTAATTGTAATTTTATTTTAAATTTAATTTTTTTAATTACAATTTTAATGTAAGAAATTTGTTATTTTAAAATTAATTTCAAATTAAATTTTTAATTCTCGCTTTAAATTTTTATTTTTATTTTTATTTAATTTTAATTT